TTCACCATACTTAATGCATTCAAAAGTGTTAAAAGTCACCAATATTCCTGTTGTAGAATAAGTAGTAATTTCATACCAAACCACTAGGTGTCAGCATCACACTTGTGTAGGCTTTACAGCGAATACACTGCTGGACTATAGACACTGATATCCACAGGTAATCATCAGTTCAGTAAAACTATCTACACATCTGTAGTTTAATGTTTCCTTCATACTGAATTGTGAAGCATTAATAATGCTCTAAATCACTATGTAAACAGTCAGAATAGTATAGTTGCCATTTTTTGACTTTATATGGCAAGAAGTACAACACACATCAATTCATGGAAGATGAGTCGAGCTCAAATGAAATCCACACACTAGTTGATGGTTGTTAGAAAAGTCCTTTATTGTGATGACAAAAATAAAGACAATATGTTTCTTTGTTGCCCCTAATACACTTTATATCTCATTTCCCAGATGCAAAGCAGACGCATCCTAGGAGTTATTATTCTTTCATATTGGACAATAACAACTTGGTGTAATCGTATAACATGACAAAGACAATGAAGAATACCACCACAAGGCAATACAGTGGTGCTCTTATATGAAAATGTAACCCCATGTGTCCGTGCATTCTAGTGTTCAGCTTTGAACACAAACACAATATTTTTGTTCCTTTTGTTCCTATCTCGAGGAGTAAGGATCAGCTGAGTGTTGGCTAGGAGCACTCGAGTGCATTAAAGGTCTTTGGAAAAGTGAACTCCCACATGCCTTCTTGTTAAAGAACTTTATTGTATAACTTTTTTACTGAGTATTTCAACTGGCAAAGGTTTTGTGGTCTGCTGTGGTCTGTTGGACTTTGCGGAGAGCATTTCTTCATGAATGTTCCCATGGGAACTCCGTATTCACAGGAAAGTGAGTTCCAATGAAATCTGCTCACAGCAGGCCTTGGGTTTGGTTTGTGATTATCGTTTGCAAAGGACGCATTGAGCAACACACATCACTATTAATTAACTTCCACCAAACTGAACGTTTATTATCGCCTCAAACGTCAACCCCAAAACCACAACCCTCAACTATCCTCAACAGAATTTCAATTTGCCTTTGTCCTCTGAAGTAATTTTAGCTGTAATTCTTAAGAATCTGTTGACCGTGTAACTAACTCTGCTTAACATCTGGAGTGAGGAGTAGATCATTTATTGCTGGGCATTCCTAGAGTACGACAACATTGATTTCTATGATACATGACTACTCTCTTTCCCTAATGTCACAGAATTAACTGGGAATTTCACTGATGAAAGTCAGTTGTTTTCCGCCACCATATCAATACTTGGTTCTAACTTTTTACCAAATATAGCAGCACATAAACTTCAAGAACATCCTCTTCGTATTACCAGTTTAAAACTACAACTTTAACCTTTCCTTGCCATGTTAAACCAATATTTAGAGCAGTTTGTGTTATAAGCAGTATAAATCATGTTTACTCCCGTAAAATGTTGCTTCTTTCATGAGTCGGCATAAATTGCTCATTTATGTTTTTCAATGGGAAGTATATTTTCATTCCTCTTCCACCTATGTTTTCATAGTTGGAAGTTGATGTAGTGAATTCAGCAAAAAAGTACGCTGTGATCAGTGGTTGTATTTAGGTTATAAAGGAGCATTATGTAAGATATCTTCAGAATTAAATTATGAAATTGCTTCTCTGACAAAAATTGCGGTCAGAAATGGTCTGTGTAGTGGCTATTTGTCCAAAAAACAACAAAAAAGTCTAAATAAACTAATATCAAAAATAATCAAATGACCACTGATACACCATGGGAATGTAATGTACGCAGGCAAAAGAAATCCAATGTCCATGCAAGAGCTGCGGTATTTTGCTGGTTTATTTGAGGAAAACAAACAAAAGAACAAAGAAAATCGTGGCTCCCGCTGCCTCTCTTGACCTGGTAAAAAACAATAGGCCCACCCAGGTGCATGCTGGTCCTCTACCTGCCTCTTACTTAAATAATCTCCGGTGCCCACAGTATTACCCAAATACCTAACAAAATTACTAATACAAAACTAAATTTACTAAACAAATAACTAGCAAAAAAGAAAACGTTACCCAAAATCTTTTCTAAATAAAGAAAACGTGTAGAATAATTAAATAAACAACACCACCCAAATATTAGTAAACTAAATACAAAAACTAATTCTAACCCCAATTAAATAGCTCCAACAGTCTGTATTTGTTTTGACAAGAGAAGGCAGGAGGCCAAGCACACCCCACACACCCGTTTTGGACTCCCCTCGTCCCCTACTATCAACAAGTAACTGAGTTCCTAAGTAACAGCATTATGAAAGTAACTAATAACTTGGGAAAGTAACTTTACTGTGTTTGCTTCAATACTCAAATTATTGTACACATTATTTAGTGTTGCTGTGGCCGAGTGAGAGGAAACGACTCTCAGATTTCAAAGAACAGTTTAGACATTTTTCAATATGAAGGTATTTGCTAATCAGTTTCCTGAAGGCAACAGACTCAACAGTTGATATGGGAAACATGTCAGCAACATACCTTGCTATCAGCCTGTTTAGTCTTGGCTTACAGATGGCAGGTGGAGCTGATTTAAAATCAAGCCTTGACTGTTTGTATGGAGTGGCTTCTCCTTGGTCTGCCGATCTGACATAAGCTGCACTTGGGCCTCTAGTGTTTGCAGCGCTGTGCTCTCTACTACTTCAGTAGAATCATGTTGTTTGCCTGGGTGCTTCCTGAGATAAGAATTACTCTTCTTGATGGTGGACAAAGTTTTCCTTTCTAGACTACAACTCATCACTAAGTTCTTACCATTTAACTTGCATCACAACATAATAATGTGGTGCTAACTGACATCAAAGTCATTTCTTGTTTTTTTAAATATACTATAATACTCTAACTAAATAACATGTTTTCAAAAAATGCTGTCTGAAAAGGACATGTTGAGTAGTTAGCTGTATACATTACATTTATGTTTTTACATTGTCACAGGGTTGCCTCTAAAACCTGCTGCAAGGAATTTCTTCTACAAGCTATGTCAAATATTGGTTAGACTATAATACCTCCTGAAGCAAACCATACCATCACTTGGCAGATTGACTAATTCTGTTTGTCTAAATAGTCTTCTTTGTTTATGTTTTCCATGGGAGGTTTCACAGGGACTGATATTTAGTTGGGTTATGAGATGGATATTTTGTTACAGACTTCTACATTAGCATGCACAGTACAAACTTGTACTTCCTTAATCACAAGGGCCACTGAATCTACTCAAAATGTAAATACCTTAAAGCATTGATTTGCTGCTTTATTTCTTGAAACAAACGCCTTACCTTAACCACAGCTTTTTTTCCACAGCACACGAATAGTGGCCTCGAGTGAAAGAGTAAGTCTTCTTTTGGCAAATTGTCCCGTAGGCTGACAGCGAGTAAGAACATGACAAGAAAAGGCTTTTTTAACTTCCAAATGATTTACATTGGTTTGAAATCCACGCTACAACTTAGCTACAGCTGGCAGGCAGCTACTAGCTAGCATTGCAATGCACTAGCATAGCAAAATGTATCTCATTCAAAAACCTCCTTTAGACGTTTTTGATCACTGCTGATGTATTTGATAAATCCACAGATACCTTCTGCGGTGACTAAGTTTTATATCATGATTATTTTGGATTGATTTAAGACTTTTAGTATGCATTTGATTGGTTAAATATTTATAAATGGAATAAATTGTGCTAATGTTGTACATTAAGTCACCTTCATATCATGCCCAGCATTATTCCGTTTCTTGTCAGAAGCTATGCCATTGTTGCCTTTGATAAAATCCTTTAAGGAAAGTTAAAAGCAATCCCGCCTTCCCATAGGTCCCCAATCAAATTAACCGGCCTTTGTACTGCCAACAGCATACAGATTTAACATGTTTACTTTTAGTGCTTTGGAATAATGAACAGCGGTCTCATTGCTTTAAGCTATATTGGATCATAAGTAAATATGTAGCCCAGAAGAGCGATTTAGATGATTGGGAACCTTTTTTGAATTGGATAAAAACCAGATTTTTAAACACTACATTGTTCACAATCAAACAAGCATTACAGATGTTCATTGCCGTACTTAAAACAAGATAAAAATGTCAAAGATGACTATGCAGAGGGAGGCAGCATTATGACATGTTCATATGCATCAGGCTTGTGGACCAGCTGTTGTCCACGTGACACAAGCTCCACTTTGCACTGATGACATCTGAATACACAAAGCAGACTTCCAGCCACATTTTGTACCCTGCTGCCTGCTGGGGAAATAAACCTGAACCAAAACAATCATAATGTTAGTAGTTAACATTTTCATGAGATCAAATCAGATAACCAGCATCAACAATGTAATCATTGTCATTATTACCTAACTACAAGGACGGTTTTGCATTATCCATCTGTTATGTCTTCTTCCCTTGTATGCTCAGGTTGCAGACAGAAGTGGTCATGCTCAAGCCTGACAACAGCTTTGTCGCCATTTATTACCCAAAGTCGATGGCTCGTGCAAACAGTCGCTAAGGTAATGTTGAAGTTTTATTGCTCTACCTATCTCGTTCATGCTGTCACATCATCTCTTTGAGCTTCCTGTTTGCTACAAAGCTCTTTCTCACTCCCCTGAGAGAGGACAAAAGCTCAGAGTGGGCTGATGTTTATGACACATGAGCAGAGCAGTATCCTTGGTGAATTACAGTCCTGCACAACATCAGCTGCAGAATGACTCGTGATAGGGGGCAAACACACACGTCATTTTTATATCAGGTAAAGTAAATGACTAAACGTGGAGACTCTGGGTGTTTGGACACCTATGTGCAAACTTCACCTGATCATATGTTGACATTTAATGTTTGATCTACTGATACTGTGGATGTGTCACAAGAACTGAAATGTTCTTTCATTGGTGCCATAGATTGGGTCATTTTGAACCATTTTGTATAAAAAGGACAACTCGCTTTTGTTTTTATTAAATACTTTATTATTATTTTTTGAAATAATTATAATTATTTTCAGGTATGTACAAAAAGAAAACAGTGGTAAAAATATTATTAAAGTCTTATAAATTAGATTGCACATTTTTTCCTTCATCTTTGTTTGGTAACAATGTAACAAACATGACATGCAAATAAATACAAAATAAATAACATGTTCCTCTTCACAAATGAGACCTTGTAATTGTTTCACAAAGGGACATTGCACATCACAACAACAAAAGGTTGCCTGGCGGCAAAGAAAAGTGCTTTCTAGCTTCTCCTACTCTCCATGTTGGTCAGTCTTTTTACTTGCTGTCCAAGCTTCATCTTAATTCATACACAAGTCCACTGGAGGCATCAGCCCCCCCCCCCCCCCCCCTCCATTTTCATTTCTATAAACCTTTTTGTTTCTTCCTGTAGAGGGGGTTACTGAACAAGCCTATCCACGGCTGCTCTCATGACAATCTCTGTGTCTGCACCCGCGCTCAGCTTCTTGATGCAGCATCTAATGTCATGCCTGTCATGCCATCTCAACCCTTAAGGCGAACCACAAACAATTCTTCATTGGCTCGCGGGGAGATTTCACGCCTTCTTCTCCTGCTGCTTGGTGGCCTTGGTGCTTGGTCTGGCTTGGCACACTAGATCCCTGTATACTGGAGAGCGGAGGAAGCGTGGGTAGCAGTCTTTGGCCATGAGCATGTAGATCTTGTGCTGGGCCACGTCGAAGCAGGACGATGACAGTGCCAGCATGTTGGCTTTGGTGAGGTCGCGTGTTTCGTGGTCGATGTTAATCTGGTAAAAAGGAAAAAGGGACAGATCCGGATTAGTCTGATGTTCTGTTTTTTTGACAGTGTGATGGCTATAAGGACAAGGCTTAGCTTTAAAACTGGACACAATACGTTCTAGCAACAAAACTGAACATTTTACTATCATGTGTTTAGAAAGAAAAGTGTTCTTTTATGCCTTATTATGTAACTGTCTGCTTTCATATCTAAATTCTTTGTTGAGAATACACACCTCCCGGGGAGCATCATTGCCGATGAATTCATCATAGATCTTCTGTGCTTTGACTGGTAGTTTGGCAGGAGACTTGGTACACCTGTAATCCTCACAGGCAAAGTAGAAAGCAATGTTCTCCTCGCTGAACTCGGATACCAGGAAAGCTGTGAAGGCACACAGTCCATCTGAGGAAAGACAGGAAATTTGATTAGATGTTACACAATGGCCCCACAGGACATGCACGTTTCCATTAGTTTGTTTCACAGCATGCATTTACCAACATCTGCAACAGGTGCTTTCTGTATGCAAATGTGTCAAATAAAGGGAATTTAGACATTTACTTACATTTGCTGGACAGGAGCTTTTCAAAGGACTCTTTCCACCGAAGACATTCCTCTAGGGATGGCCTGAAAGTAGACAACGTCAGATTAGATTCAATCCAGAATTTAAATCAAGTTTTTGGCTGTTACAATAAATACAGATTATGTGTTGCTTACTTATTTTGCCCAATCTTGAAGCTGGATAGATTCCAATTCGGCATCTGCATGATGCTTCCCAGTCTTGCTTTCAGCTCCTTGGCCCTGAAGGAAAAAGGAAAAAAATTGTTGAGCATCATTTTTCATGCAAAGCCTTCATGCATTTACACAAGACATTAATGTGTACAACAATTTAGCAAATCAAAGTCTAAATTAAGCACAAACTAAATCTGACACGCTCTTTTTCTTCAAATGCTCACACACATGCACAAAAATAAAACAGCAAACTAGTTTCCCTATCTGGTAATCCAAGTTTCTGAACATCAGCTATGTGAAAATCTGCATAGATTTTAAATGTACCTTTCCAAGCAGCAGGTAGGCAGCGATGCTAATCCTTTGCACATTGCAGCAAGTCGCAGCTGGTGTGGGTAGTGTCTCGGTTGGGTGGTGGTTCAGTAATCCGTTTGGTAAAGCTGAGAGGGGAGCCAGATTGTCTGTGTGTCTGAACAGAGCCAGAACAGGGGTTTTTATAATCCTACCTCCCTCTGCCTCTGTCGTGTCATCAGTAGCCTCAGCCAATCACAGCGAAGCAGAGGGGAGGGCAAGAAAAATAGAAAGAGAGAGAGAGAGAGAGGGAGAGAGAGGGGGAGAGAGTGGATGAAGTCAAAAATTGGATATGCAAGGACAGGGTAGGGAAATTACCGGGCATTTCCCTGAATACAGTCCACAGTGATTCTTAGTGGGGGGGTTTTCAACCATGTCTTCGCAAAACATATTACCACCATGAATGTAGAAAATTACACACTGATCCAGAGTGTGGATATGAGAATATATTAAGCAATGTGTAACAAGCTAGAGGAAGCCAGCATTTAGATATTTTTTTTACCTCTGAAAAAAGTAGTAGAATAATCTTGAAGTTGTTCTTTAAACATTTAAACAAGATATTTAATGTGATTCTTAAATGATATCATGAGACATAATGTCACTCATTTGTCATTAAGCCCCTACATAGCCTTTCATGGAATAATCACTCAGCCTTAAACTTGTTTTTATCATCTGATAGAACCGTTACCAAACCGGGCTTATACCCCTCAGTGACCTTCACCTGTATAAATACAGGTTTCAATCAATCACCCTGCATGTATGATGTAACCCAACAACAAGCCTGTCCACTAACAACATCCGCTGTGGTCAAATTGCTTCCCAGCAGCTCCTTCTCTTGTTCACATCTAGTTTGTGGTGCTGCCTTGAAGAAATAGGAAGGTTGATCAACAACGTCTCACATGGTAAGCACAATCAACACTTAGCATCTTTACGAGCCTGATGAAAAAATGATGGGAAGCAAATGCGGTATTCATTCAGTTTAATTACATTACTGTAAGCAGGCTGGATGCACAAACACCTGCAGGACACAATAAAGCCGAGGTGGGTACACTTCCCATATGGCGAGCTGCAGATTTGTTTGTCATAAAATTCAGCTTGGATGGTGTTAGATAATCAAAGGCAAAACGTGACTGAAAAATGGTGTTGACTCAGACACTTTACGGGAACTGCATAGCCTCTAGCTGGTACAATTCTTAAAAAAAAGACAAGTAAGATATTAAACAGGAATGTTTGAAGAAAATCTGTTACTGTGAATTTGTTCTTTTTCATGACCCAAAATAAGCCACGTACCAGTACAGGAATGATAGTTTTCACAGAACCTCTAACCACTATTCCCCACATGACAGTGGAAACATTGTATTCGGCCTCTTGTGTAAGAAAACAGCCGTGGGCATTTAGTGGAATTGAGACCTAAGTGTGTGATAGGTGTGTGATAGGTGACATCAGCTTTAAGTAGCAACTTCCTCTCATCTAATAAATATGATATCTGCTGAAAAACAGCACATAAGAAACATTCACATAAGAAATGTGATATCAAGACACGACAAACGGAAACGTTGGACTCACCAAGGAGTCTTTTTAAGCTGTTTATGATCAAACTTTTGGTTGACTAGATTACCATGACAATAACAGGTTTCAGTACATGCTTCAATATGGCATTCATTTCAGTGACTTGAGGTTTGTGTGCATTTTTTTCCACATTAAAATTACAAAATAAGCTGGTTCAAGATAGAGGAAAATTGTTTTTATCCTACATGTTTAAAAAAAATGTTGCAGCTATAGCCCATTGTGCAGTTTATATCCATTGTGTCCAGATCTGCTTATCTTAAATCAAGAGCAATCATCAATTAAAATCCATTGTAGTAGTCACATTTTGAAACATTTAGATACTTTTCAGTATTACTTTATTAAAACATTAGTATTAGTCAATCCTATACAAACTTGTATCACCAGGGCATTTTTGAAAGGCTCTGAGGAACCAAGGACTTAACAATAACCCTTTAAAATGGTTAAGTCCAGACTAAGGGTATCCCCGGGCTAAAAAGGAAGCCTTGCTAAGGACATGGGCTGTACATCCATTAACCAAGAGCTCACAATGTTCCAAGACCAGGCAGCACTGATGAGATTGCGCCAGCTAATGTAGGGTAGTTAAAAAGAAAGACAACTGCACAGGGATTGCCTAACCTGTCATTCATTGTACTGAGGAGGATTTAAGTGGACCTTTTTATTGCCAGCAAAGAACAACGGTTTGCCTAAGAAGCCTGGGGGAACACCAGCCACCCACTCGCTCACCTACTCATACTGTGATGTCAGTTCTTTTCTTTAAGGTGACCAAGGACAACCGGAAACCAGAGAATATGAGCATGGAAATATGTTGTTGAATGAAGGGCTTTTTTTGAAGCTGGGTATTCGCTGTCCTTGAAGCTAGCGGATGCATCAACAACACACGCATAAACTTCAGCCAGAAATTCTACAATTCATTTAGCAGATATATTTGTCCAAAGCAATTTTACATCAGAGGAAATACAACACCAGCTTTTTTGGTGTTGTGTAGCTTTAAGGACAAAGGCACAGGCAGGCAGTGCACATGCACTTAGGTTAATATACCATCATCAACCACAACATTGAAAGCTGCTCTTGAGAGTTCGAATCAGCATCAAACCATCCTAAATATCATCATTATCATTATCATCATCATCATCATCATCATCATCATCATCATCATCATCATCATTATTAAGGCCACTTGAACCTTAATGTTAGCTGGTTGGGGCTATGACATCCTAGCAGTTGATTTGCATGCCCCATGTGCAGAGGCTGGGGTCCTTGAGGCGGATGGTTTGGGTTCAGATCTGACTTGTGGCTCCTTTTATGCATGTCATTCCCCACTCTCTCTCTCCCTGATTTCAAATGCTATCTCTTGTCCTCATTGCAGCTGCCATGGGTTCAACTCCAGCCATTGCTGCATGTTAACCTCGGCTCTCTCCTCCCAACATTTCCTGTCTTAAGGCAAATTATTATCATATATTTTTTTAATTAATCTTTAAATGTAAGCTGGTAATCAATCATGACACCTAGTTTCCAGGCAGACTTTTTAGGCATGAATTTCGTTGTACCAAGATGAATATTCATCTGCGGTTTCACAATGGGACTGGCTGGGATGACACAGAACTCAGTCTTTGAGAGATTGAGTTGAAGGTGGCATTTATTCATCCATTTAGAAATATCAACAAGGCATGACAAAATTATTGCGATTATTGTGAGACTATCATATTGCGGGAATGACTAAAAGAGCTTGGTATCATCAGCATAGCAGTGGTATGAGAAGCCATGAGAGTGGATTATTGCACCAAGTCAGGTGTATATGGAGAAGAGAAGGGGACCGAACACTGACCCTTGAGGCACCCCTGTGGCGAAACTGTGTGCTTTGAAAACTTCTCCCTACCAAGACACTCTAAAGATCTCCCTGAGAGGTAGGGCATGAACCAGCGGATGATAGATCCTTAGATGCTGAGTTCACCGGGGACCTAGTGTGGACCTACTTACAAGTGGTCCAACAGGTTTTCTAATTTTTTTAAAGTAAAAAAATAAATTAAAAAAAACATTTTTTGGCCTACTACAGTTTCTGTAAACATTATTATATCACTGCTATACTAGCTATTCCTTCAAAGGCTTTACATAATATTTCTCAGTAAAACTACTTCTCAGTGAATTGAAAGCCATAAGGTCTAAGCTATAGAGAGTTTCATTGTCTGAACAACCATTGACTTGATGTACCGTACCAACAGTTGCACATGGACAGTCATGCATTCCTTTTCAAAGCTGTTCTCACTAATCTGTTATGGATAATTATCTATAGGTAAAATAGTCATTGCATACAGACTTTGTCTGAAGGGTTCAGGTTTTCTGAGTAATGAAGATTTAGAGGTTTTCTTGAAAGACATGGGAAAGGCATCTCGTATTTGCCTCGTTTTCACTAGTAGAGAGTACAAGTACAGGATGATTCATTGATCTCTTCAATAACTGGGACAATAATAAGTTGACCTAAAACAAACTATCTTTTGTTTTGACAATTGTTCAAAGTACAAAGAGAGCACAGTTTACCAAAAGCAAAAATCCTTGTGTGTATAAGCATACCTGGCCAATAAAGCTGATTCTGATTCTGATTCACATGAATTCTTTCTTACTAAGGACAATGTCTGACACCACAAAGGACCTTTTCCGCATTACAGTACTAACAATCATATAATCTGAACGACTTAATTTGAAGCTTTTGTCTGATATTTTTATGACTTATTTGGCAACAGCATTCTCATTATGTTTTTGTTTTTTTTCCACCTCCTCATCTTGCAGTTCTATTCTCATGAACCCTATACGACGAACTCCTGGAGCTAAATTGGTACTAAGATGGCAAAGTTCTCCTATTCTCATCTCAGTGAACCCTGGAGGGCACATCTCCTATTGTTGTAGGACAAACATCCAACTGGACTTAATGATGAGTGGATTTTAATTTCTAATCCAAGATCAAAGCCACTGTGACCGTATGTCTGTCCCATTATTGTGAAAAGGATTTTCAAGCAATTTCTGTGTTCCATGTAGCTATGGTTATGATCTCTGCCTACGTTTTTGGAGGGATGGGTAGCTGATGGGAGAATCTGTCCTTATAAATAACTTTAATTGGAAACTTCATTCACAAAAGGCTACTCTATGAGATTAGTTGCTCATGTTCCCAGGAGCCTCCTAGCATATTTCCCCTCCCAACAACACACTCAGGATCACCAGATAACGTGGCCTCATATCTTTGAGTAAAGTCTTGAATGAGGGCTTTGTTTAAAAAGTGGAAATGTACTTCAGGTTGTTATATGTTTGTGTCAACATGTGACCAAGGCACAGACAGAACTAAAATCTTGAATAATTGCTGTTTACAGTAGACTTTAAGTTGACTAGTTGCATCAAACACAGGAAAATAATTAGGTCTTTAAATATCCAGATGAAAAACTGTGTATAATTTGTTGAACGTGCCAAGTAAGAATCATCCAATGTGACATTTAGCTGTACTTCTATTACAAAGGAAAGGTCGCTGCTTGCTTTGTTTGTTACTAACAGTCCAGGTTCGAAGCAGGTAC